TCTCCGCAATTTTTAGCAAATTCATTTTAGCAACATTTTAAACAACAATTTAGACTTGGCTTTTAGTTCTCAGACGGCTTTTAGTCCGTCCCCAATTCAAGCCAAGCATAGGTACCTATGTTTTCTCCGTCAACCGCCGAGTTCGCGTCAAATTCGTCTCCCTTTTTTACAAAAAATATTGCACCGAGGCCCCCAGTTGTCAATCTACGCTACCGTATTCTTAGTACCTATACATTTAGATCGAGACTATCTAAATTTACCTAATGCTATTCATTCTTTTTTTTTTGTTACCAGTCAGTCATATTTATTAGTTATTGATAAAAGAATAGTGGGTAAAACTATACAGAGTCAACGTTAAATAAGTGCAAATATTTTAAGGGGTGATATATTTCGACCCCAGGAGCACGTTTATGAGTTTTTTTTGCAAAAAAAGATGTCAAAAATCGAGCATTTTCTTTTAAATTTTCCTGTATATTTTAGAAAATTTTTTAGAACTTCCTGTTCACCACAAATTTTCCTCCCCTACGGTATAGTTTCTTAATCTCTGATATTACGGCACTAAAAGAGATGCAAATACCTAAAAATTGAGGTAGCTCAAATTTTTTTAAAAATAAATCTATTTTTTTTAATTTCCAAACTTTAATAACTCGATTGGACTTATTTGAAACTCGATAAAGAGAATATACTATGTTTATTTTATTTAGATCTACCAGCCCTGAAAATATTTGCACTTATAGATTCACCTTTTATAATAAAAATTTTCAAACCGAACAAACATCAGATGACTATTAAAATTATAAGTGTCTCAGAGAAAGACATTTTACAAAAGTTATTTTACAAATTGTTGGTGTTTATGTTTAAAAGCAACTGATTATACTGATGCAAATTGATTAGTTAGTTATGGAGTCACTAAGGATCTTACGTCACTTTAGTTAGAAGATTAACCATTCATTTTGCTGCAATCCAATCTTTTTTGAGCTCTTATCGGGACCGGCCCACCGGCCCACCGGGTATTTTCCCGTTTTCCCATATGGCCCATCCACCCCTGCTTATGAGGAAGACTGAGGAAGACATTTTGTACTAATTTTTACATTAAAACTTGCCTATACTTCCATGCCTTTACTTTTGGTCCTAGTCAACAGACTTAGTAAGTTGTTCTCCCGAAGCAGGTCTTCTTGACATAAGATTTGCTTCGTTTAAACTACTTCTTACAGTTCATTCCCTTACATCTGTTTACATCATTGTACATGACTATATAAACAAGGCTTACATGTACGTTCCTTAGGTGCAATTAATTATAAATTTAAAAAACTGAAAAGTCGATCGTCTTGCTTCCAAGTTCTGATACGAAGGTTCCTGGACGTCTAGTATAATATGAACTTGACTCGAAGATATATAATAAATCATAAACACTATTTCATACTATGGACTGGGACCTGTGTCTTTTTCAAAAACAATTATCTCAAAAAAATGTAGTACTTTTAGTATAGTTTGTTTAAATTTTAGTACACTAAAGTTAAACAAAATAAATTAATATTGTTGTTAATTAAAATATGTTAAAAGACTCAAAATAAGTAAGTTAAGTTTTTGGAAATAACATACCTGAGTTGGAGTTATATAAAATTTTAGTATTAAATTTCTTTTGTGATGTTTAAATAATTTTATATATGGTAATTACCGTTGTTGCACATTCAGGGTCAGTAATTTTAAACATAATGACGATTATCCCCCAGTTTTACGGAATTTCCGATTACGCTGTATAGTAATTTGCAGATTGAATTATACAGACATTTTTTACATTTAGTTGGTAATGATTTTCCTACATTAAATACTGAATAGTAATAAAAGAATAACTGCCAAAAATTCCTATATATTGAATGACATTTATTAGTTGTAACTCTTAAATAATACTTAAATTGTAAAAACTAATTAAAAGATGATGGAATGAAAATGATGTAACGTTTGGCACACACATAAATAATAGACAGTTAAAGCAAGGCACAATACGTATACGTATCTCTGGACACACGTATCGCAGAAACCTACGTTACGTCTGCCGTTGCGTTGTCGTGTAAACAAGATTTAAAGCAAGGATTTTGACGTACGTAACGCAAATGGTACATTTGTAATTCTAAATTATTTTGTAAAAGAATTTATTTAATTTTAAAACTGAAAATGGATATCTATTATTCCATCGATTCCACATTAAATTTATAAAAGTTCGAAAAATGAAGAAAATTATAAATGGAAATTATTTTATTACAGAAAGTAGTCCTTACAACTTAAAATGCTCTTAGTAATAAAAATATTGTAAAGCAAACACAGTTTTATGATTATTTATTAGATTCCAACTTTTAGAATCCTCATATGGATTTTGGCTAAGAACTAGCATTTAATGAAATAGATTCCAAAATGAGTTTATTATGATGCTTAATATTTTCATACTAATTTATTGTAATAAAATAGGCCCAGTTCTGTTACACTGGCCCCAAAATTTATGAAATAACTTAATTACTAGCCAGTTGTGGAAACAAGTTGTTTGTGAACTTGTACGTTCGGCATCATTCGGGTGAAAACCGAAACTCCTTCGGCTCGATACGTTTGCGTTTTGTACGTACGTAAAGGCACGTAAAGATACGTATCACGTATCCGTAAACGCAAGTGAATTTCTCACTGCGCAAGCGTACATGTCAAACGATACGTTTACGTCTACGTCTTTGGCCGTGCTTTAACTGTCTATTATTTCAGTACGTTTAACTATAAGCCCCATCTACACCTAACGTTTTATAGTCTAAGAGCTAGCAATGTTTTCGAGAAAGTATTTTAAGACGTCTGGCTCTTTGATATATCTTTTACTATGCTCTCTGGAACAGCATGCGGCCCGTCTGGCTGCTGAATCATCGGTTCGTGGTCGGAAACTCTACGCACTGCGCTATGGAGACATGTTAAATTAATATTCAATACTAGAATTTAAAGGACTAATAAAAATATAGGATCTTCTTTCAAACGCAACGTTTACCGGCAGCCAGACGGGCCGCATGCTGTTCTAGAGAGCATAGTAAAAGATATATCAAAGAGCCAGACGTCTTAAAATACTTGTTTTTCCGACGTTGCTAGCTCTGGTATTACCTGTCAGTCTTAGTTGTTGTCAGTCAAAACGCATGAAGTATACCTTGTGTCATTTTTTAATCATTGTGGGTTACTATTAAGTATAGTACAACGTCTATTATTTAAAATACCTTTTTTACAGTTTGGTAAACTGAAATAACGAACTATAAATAATCAAATATATTTTAACCTTCTGTTCGAATTTTTTGAATTAGCGTCTTTTATTACGTAGATGTGTAAATAGGCAACGTTTGACCTACATTTAAACAGATCAGCTGATTTTGAATTTTAGGTTATCCAATTCATTTGAGATTTTACTCAAAACAGTAAACCTCTGACAAAATTAGAAAAAATAGGCAAATAGAAGTATCAATTATTTTGTTGTTTATTCACAAAAACAAGTGTGAGATAGAACTTTTTATCTAAATTTTCCAAGCCGTTTTTAAATCTTTATAGTCGATGTGTCGGCGTCGAACAAGCTGAGATTCTGGTAATTGCTTGGTATTTTCGGCTGATTATCGATTGCTGCTGGTGACTCTCAAAATGTTGCCGTAATTTTTTAAAATTTTCAAAGTTAAATAATTCGGTTATCAATTCATTTTAAAAATGCTTAAGAGAAAATATGTTTCTTTGGCCAGATCTAACCACCCTTTAACATATTTTCACTTATTTCTGTGACCCGCCTGTATATAGTTCTGTAATTATAATTTGGAAAAGATTGTTTCTTATAGATTGCTAATTTATATCAAAGTTTATTACATCGATTTGTAGACCTTGAAATTGTTAAAACGATTTTTTCAATTGATCTTTAAAAATACAACTTCTCTTCTAATAGTTGATGATGGAATTTCCATTATTTACCAAGATTTCTTAGATTTCGATACGCTACTAACAATATGCTTGTATTTAATTTGGAATAAGTGGGTATTGTTCTTGATTATGTTGCGGTTTAGTCACAGATGAAGCTATAACTAATCTGTGGTTTAGCGTTTATTTCTTATTATTTCAAATAAAAATCAACTGTATTTATTCTTTAAATTTATGATTATGGCTCAGAAAGAATTTGTAATATATGTATGTGAAATATGTTTTTAATGGTTTAACTGTATAGTGTATCCCATTTTAACCACAACATAATTTAACTTTTTTAAAAATTTTTGTGTTTGTTGTTAGGAATGTTTATTTGAACAACTAATTTTGTTTTTAGTCAAGTTATTATAATTTTTAATTAAAATTAATTTAGCATTACATCCTTAGATTCATCTTCGTTTAAAAAGTAAATAAAATATCACACGTTGAAAAAAAAACGGCGTCACAGTAGTCTTTGAAACGATCAAGCCATGATTCTTCTACTATTGGTCGACTTCGTATTGATCGCCTGTTATACATATCATTTATAGTACATTAACTATTACCACAATACACCAAAACACTTTAGTTCTGCACTGGATGGGCCCGTTTCGCTAATCTTGTTAGCATTATCAGCAAATGATTAAAACTACTATTTAGTTTGGTGTATTGTGGTGAATTAGTGTTTTTTTTCTGTTATAACATTAAAGGTTCCAACCCCCAACTGTAATATACCTACATTAACTTTACTTAATTCTGAATTATTATTTTTTTTTTATAAATGGGTTTGTGCCAATACAAACAGGTAGAATAAATATAGTTAAAAGCGTTACAAAGAGTATATAATATCACCGGTCACTAACTTTCTAAAAAATGACACAATAATGTCTATAAGTTTCTTTTAATAAATAGGTACGCCGATGTATACTTTCTTTTTTAAATTCCTTCTAAAAATACGGTACAGATCACTTTATCACAACGGTTCACTAGTTTCACAGATAACATAAAACAACAACAATAATAATTAATAATAATACACAAACCTTTTTTCGGGATTTTCCAAAGATGTTGAGATCACCAAAAACTTATTATCTCATACTTTTGTCACTAAAATCTTCTACTACTTCAGGTTTCACACGAATGAAATCCTTTTGTCTGCAAGTTGTTTCTGTACTAGCTCTAGCTATGGTATTAACTGGCGTATTTTTTCTTTGGTACGACGGCGGTACGTACGTAGACCGAGAATACCCAAACTGGTTTAGGAGAGAACCTGGTTTAGTATGAAAACGATGACGAACCAAAACAGCGGGTACCGAGGAACGTAACCAGTGGCGCCGAACGCTGGGTTAAATGGGGCTATCCTCAATAAAACAAATAATATAAATAGACAAACTAGATAAATCGAAGGTACCCAAGGTTTTTAAACCAGGTAAAAACAGAGAAAAGCTAGAATACCAATTATCGATTTAAAAAAAATTGTTTGCAGTATATGTGCATATTTTTTGAAGTGAAACTTCTTCTTACTTCCGTCTGTCTGTCTGTCTATTTGTCCGTCTGAGGACTCAATTCGGGTACCTCTATCGACTTGCCGAGTTTGGTTCCAATTGTTCCATAATTAAGAAAAATCCTGATGATTTCGGCCATTTAGAGGCATCGGTTCGAAACGTCGAGGGCCTGATCCTGTAACCCGTCCCCAATTTTTCCAAAATCGACCCACATTTTTTTCAATATCAAGTCCTTAGTCACATAGTGATGAAGATGTAAACGAAACGTCGCGTCTTGTCCAACTTTGCAGGGTGAGACGTTTGACGTTTCTTACGTCAAAACTAATTATCAACAGAGACACGTGTCGTACACGGTCAAGTTGGCCTTGGTCCAATCTATCGACATACCAAATTTCATTTAAATCGGAGATTGTTTTAGTTGATTCATTGATGATGGGGTTTTGTAGTGCACGAAACGTCGCGCGTCGTCAAAATATCATGAAATGATGGGGCTCTTCGAATTCCCTCTACAGTACATCTGCTGGATCTGTGTCTATGAAAGGAATGCCGACAAAAAACATTTAAATAAACAGCAATATATTTTATACGTCGATTTGACGAGTGCGTCACCGCAAATCGCTCCGCCCACTCATTTTATTGGCTACTTGCAAATTTGTTGAATTTTTATTGATGGGACGCGTCGTCTATTTTTTTACGAAAAACATCGAGAGAATATCGTTTCCCCTCTCACGGATACCCCGTAGCTACAGAACGGACAGACGTACTGTACATTCCAAGTTTCAGCCCTCTGGCTCACATAGAGCCCGAGTTACGACGCTCCGTCGTAACCTCCGATCGTTACCACTTTTACTGACGCTAACTCGTGTGGCTCGTGTGTCACGACCGTGAATTTTTACTCTCAACGCGCGTAAAGAATTTTCACTTCAAAAAATCAAAACATTTTTGAAAAATATATATTTTTCAATTTTTTTACGTAAAAAAACTCATATACGTTTTCTTGGGATCGAAATATAGGTACCGCTCCTAAAAATATGTGCACTGATTTAAGACTCACCCTGTGTTTTTATCAAAGTAAAAAAAATCTATGTGGTGAAACATATAAACTGTGTAATTTGTGAAATTTACAACAAAAATATTAAAATATTGGTAGGTTGTCATTCAAACTATATTCATGTGATTCTTAAATGCTATTGGGGTAAATTGAAGTGTTTATTTATTTTACACTTTTATGCTGCTTTTATGAATATTCAGAGAGTACGCCATTGACGTTGTCATATCTTAAAAAAGGATTAGTTAAATCTGTAGTCAAATGAAACTCAAAATAAAGAAACGGTTTGTTTACATTTTGCTTGTATAGTATGTATAGTTTTATTAGATTAATTTGGTAAACAAAAACAACAACAACCTTAGGGTATTTTCTATAATTTTTTTACCTGATAATTATATATATTTTTTAACTACGCCTATGGGATTTAATTTACTATTTCTTTTATCAATGACTGGGTGTAAAGCCCAATGGGTATGGATTAAATATTGTTCATTATTATTGCATATTTACAATCCGCAATTAACCTTTTGTAAACAAGAAAACATTATGGGTTTTCCAGATATTTAAAGAATCTTGTAAATTTTTTTTGTCGAGATTACACACTCAATGTCAGTTAATAAAGTATATTAGTATTTAATTTTATTTTTGTTATTAAAAAATAGGTATATAAAATATTTATCCACAGGTTTTAAGAATATTTATTTATACCCGGTGCGTCTCAAAAGTGGCTCGCCCCTCTAACTTTCTTATTTTTTCAGATAAAAAAAACGAGTTTTGGTATGCACATATATTAGGACTGATTGACGTATTCAGTTGTTTTTGGTTGCTGCCTGTTTTATTCGATAGAAAATGGCACTCTGAATAGAGTGATATATCATATGTCAACTTTTGATATTTTTGTTTAAAAAAATCGTATTTTAAATATTAATCTGAATACCATGGTTGTATTAAAAACACTAATTTTTAATCAAGGAACCTTAGGAAAATAGATTTGATCGTCTAATGTTTTTCGTGTCTTATCATGGCCGGTTAAAAGATGCCCAAATTGTATTTTTAATAATTTCTCAATTTTTTCAAATGGAACAAGGGTGGCTCATTAGCATATTTGAAAAAAGCATTTTATTACGAACAATTTGATACCACATACTTGGTATTTCGAGTCAAATTGTCGTTATGACCCGTATCCAACAATTTCAAATAAACCTATGCGAAAATGTCAAAAGTTGACATATGATATGTCATTCTATTGACCGTGTAATTTTCTATCGAATACGGCAAAAAAATACCGAAGGTGTCATTTAAGAATCAAAAGTTGTAGTCATTTCCGGTGAAACAGGAAGTGACCAAAAACAATTGAATACGTCAATCAATCCTAATTTATGTAATATACTAATATACCAAATCTCGTTTTTTTATCTGAAAAAATAAAAAAGTTATAGAAGTGAACCACTTTTGAAACGCACCCAGTATATTAACTTTATTTAAAAAAATATATATTAACATCTTTTTTCTTATCTTATAAAAAAATCGTAGTAAGTAAGTAATAATTTTTGAATAGTCATACAAGGAATATGTTAATCAAACTAGAAGTTTTAATTTATTATTTTTATTTTATTATTAAAAAAAAATATTAAAAATATTTTGTTTCGCAAATTTGAACCTACTAATATTAACTAATTCTTTATACACGTATGGCACCTTCTTGATCAGTTTTTTTTCTACAAACTATATTTACAAACAAAATAACATATAAAGATATAATATGGCACAAATTCACAGAAATATTAACAACTTAAAACTAGTTGATACCTTTAGGAAATGTATCAGTCTTTTAAATAATATAATATATTTATATAGTCTTTACATTTACTTTAGTACAAAATCAGCTCTCTTAAATCGACCTAATTTTTTTTCAAATATATACAAAAAATATTAAGATTTTGGCCCGGCCTAGCCCTACATAACTACCTATTTTTATTTACTACATATCTTAAATACAAATAAAAAACCACAAAAATATTTAAACTATAACTTTTAAAAAAAAATACATATGTACATTATAAGTTGTTATATTTTTTTTATTTTTCTGATAGTTACAAAATTTATTTTGTAAGGTATTTCAGAAAATGACTAACAAAAACTCACCTAACAAAACTTTCTGAATTTGTATGCATGTGATAACATTTTTTTGCATTTTATGCATTCTATGTTACGAAATTATCAACAACTTGACACTAGTATTATTTAAAACAATACCTATCTATGTATTATTTTTGCTAATTTAGAAAAAGGGACAACGTTACCTAACTCTGATTTTCGTTTTCATCTTGGATCTCTTTTAAACTACCATCCCTTTTGTCATAAACTAGTATTATTTAAAACAATATCTACGTGTTATTTTTGCTAATTCAGAAAAGGGGGCAACGTTACATAACTTTGATTTCCGTTTCCGTCTTGCTTCAAATCTTTCAATCTACCATCTTCATAACTTGGATCATATTTAGGAGAAGCATTAGCATATCTTTCAGGGGACTGACTCAAATTCGGATCCACATACTCTATTTTGACTCCTATCGAATTCTCATCAGCTGTCGGCGAATGAGTTTGCAGCATAGAGTATTCTCTGCCCAACGGGGGACTCTGATTATTTGGAGGAGTTCCATAATCTTGTGCTCTCATCGGAGCAGTAAATAATTGAGAATCATGTGAATTAAGCATATAGGAGTAAGAGTTTTGACCAGAACCAAAGGTAGTGTATGAAGCAGGAGATCCAAAACCTGTATATGACGTTGGTGCAGGATTCAGTAGATTTAAATGGCTTCCCAAATCGTAGGTGTTCTGTCCATAACTCCAAGAGTCCACGGCAGGTGCTGACTGGTTCTGCGTGAACGGAATGCTTTGATTGAAGTTGGTGTTGATGGTTGAACTAGGAGAGGTTGAACTGATGTAGCCTGTTTTTCTTGGTGGTTCCCTCTTGCGCCATTTTGCTCTTCTGTTCTGGAACCAAACCTGGACCCGGGATTCGCTCAGGTTGAGTTTTAAAGCTAGTTCTTCTCGAGCGAAGACGTCTGGATAGGGGGCTCTTTCAAAGGCTCTTTCCAGTTCTTCAAGTTGGAATGCAGTAAATGTAGTTCTGGAAAAAATAAATAAATTGTTATAAATCATTTATGTTTTTGATAATGTATTGAAATAGACGGTAAATAACATGTTATAAAATATAACATCTACAAAAAAAATAAACAGAATAGGTAGGATTAGATGATTAGAATGTAGAATGTATATGAGGGGGTTAATTAGCGCGACTCTACAGATCTATTGTTTCCCCCTTTCTTCAGTTAGACCTCATCATTCAGTCTCAGGACTTTGACAAAAGCCAGTATCTGAGACGGTTTTACAGAGGTTAGTTTTCTATTTCCATCAGTCGTTCCAAGACTCTGGCACGAATGATTGTCGTCGCGGCGCACTCAGTGATGAGCTATTCTGGTGTTGCCCCATTTTCACCAGATAATCTACATTCGCTGTTGTATCTTAGCTTCAATCTACTGATGAGGTGTTCACTGAGGAGACTCATTGAGGTACTTAAACCAAGGAAAGTCTTTGTTTTTTCTCGGTCGTACGTTCTGAGAAATTTTCTTCGAGTGTCTTAGACTGTTGGAGGATTCCCATTTCAGGTTACTTGAGTTCCGTTTTAAGTTGGTTTCCACTTGGGAAGCAGAACGGTCCTGATCCAGTTAGTAGAGTGTTTTCTATTTTTCTAGCTAGATCGTTTGATAGTTAAGATAAGTTGTACGCATATATTCTTTATCTTTAGAAGAATAAATACACAAAAATTAAAAAAAATACAGTGAAGTCAAATCAGCCAAACTAATCAAAATTTCAAAGTAATATCCAAACCAACACGTGTCCTCGACAAACATCATTTTATACATCTCATCCCCTTATAGATGACTATCTAAAACAAATTTGTTTCGCTAAATTGACTTCGTCAGAGAAAAAAATGCGCCCGTGTCCGACAGCATGGAGGGCTCTTGAACTGCGTCGGTATTTCACACATCTGGCCCCCTATTGAGCGTTTCGAGTGGACAACAACTGACGCTACTTTTGACTGATTTTTACTTTTTTTTAGAAAAACCGAAATCTATTTGAATAGTACCATGCGGGTCGTTAAACAAGGAATATATTCAAGTGATTTTTATAAAAACGTTTATTTTAATGAGTCATTTTAGAAGGAGAGTTAAAAAGATTAGGGTGAGATAATAATGCGACCATTTTAAGAGAAGGTACAGATTGTAAGTACTTTAAGTATAGCCTATCCCATCAAATTCTAAATTCTTAAGAGGAAAAAATTAGAATATTTTGCAGATGTTATAAGAGGCCCTAAATTGCTCCAGAATATTATGGAAGGAAAAATCCAAGGAGGACGTAGTCAGGGCAGAAGACGAACATCCTGGCTGAAGCACCTCAGAGGAATGAACCTCAGAATGACGTCGAATGGATTATTTAGGGCAGCCGCAAATAAAATCAAAATAGCCATGATGTTTGCCAACCCCTGTTAGGAGACGGTACTAACTGCGGCTTTGCTACTACGGTACAAGAAGAAGATCCCATCAAAAATGTAAAATATAAAAAAATGCTTCGCAACGCAGTTATTCCACTACAAAACTTGTAAGATGTCATGTAAAATCAAATTACTTAAGTTAGTTAGCAATTATGAATATTTTTAGAAAATTATAATTTTCAAAATATTCATGAGCTCGAAAAAATTTCCGGAAATAATTTGACCTCTAGTGGTATTACTAGTGAAAATTTGAAAAAAAAAAATTTTTGCTTAAATTTTGAGAACTCTCCACCATCTTTTCTGGCGTTTCTTTCATTCGGAAATTATGTTTTTAACTAGAAACTATACCCATTTTTAAAAAGGGAGATAAAACAGACCCAACAAACTATAGAGGAATAACATTACTGAGCACCTCGCTAAAACTTCTGACTAAGATCATTGCGGACAAAATCTCCTCAATAGTGCCAATAAGCGAGGAACAACAAGGATTCCGAAGAAACCGATCAACTACCGATGCACTATTCATACTCAGGCAACTAGTTGAAAAATCCTTAGAATATAACTCTCCAGCCTATCCATGTTTTATAGATTTAACAAAGGCCTTTGATAGAATCCAACTAAAAGACATCATCACCATCTTGGAAAGCAGTAATGTCTCGAAAGAACTCATAGAACTTATCAAAGACTTAAACACAAACACAACAACCCAAATAAGAACAAACTTTACCTTAACGCAGCATCTTCGAACTACAACTGGTATTCGCCAAGGCGACAGTCTCAGCCCTCTGTTATTAAACACAATCATGGATCAAGTAATAAAAACCGTCAAAAATACTGGATTAGGATATCGAATGGGAATGCATAAAGTAAACATATTATGCTATGCCGATGACGCAGTACTTATTGCTGAGTCAGAGGACGACCTCCAAAGAATGCTACAAGCTTTTAACAGACAGGCAGAAAAACTTAACATGCAAATTTCCACAAATAAGACCGATTGCATGACCATTACAAAGGAGCCTCTAAGGTGCAAATTGGTAATAAAAAACAAAACTATTGATCAGATAATGTCATTCGAATACCTCGGATGCAAAATTACAAGCTCAGGATTCCTGGAAGAAGAAGTAACGAACAAGCCAATAAAGCTGCCGCAATATCAGGACATCTTAAATATCCCATATGGAAAAACAAACATTTGAGTACAGAATGTAAGTCGAGAATATACAAAACCTGCATACGACCAGTGATGACATATGGTGCGGAAACCAGAGCTGAAACATCAGTAACAAAGAGAATCCTACAAACTACTGAAATGAAGACCTTAAGAATGATAACTGGATACACATTGAGGGACAGACAGAGAAATGTAGACATAAGAGAAAAGTGCCAAACAAACGACGTTGTCAGATGGATAAGGCAGAGAAGAAGAGAATGGAACCAGCATGTCAATAGAATGGGCCCCGACAGAATGGCCATAATAATTCGCAACAATGTACCCCATGGCAGAAGACCTACTAGACGACCACCTAAACGTTGGCAAGACAGTTGGCAGTCAACCTCGCAAGAGTTGCTTAGACGAGAAGGAAACCGAAACTAAACAGGCGATACGCCTTCTAAAAGAAGAACTAGAAACTAAACAAATTTCGAAAAAAAATCCAAAATATTACAAAGTTTCAAAAAGAAATCGCAAAAAATACCCCATAGACGTGTTCTCGAAATCGAAATATACTACCCCTAGAAATTTTTATACCTATTTAAGACTCACCCTGTATAATCAATTATTTCTCAACATTTATAGTGACTGTATCAATATTAGACATCTTTATTTCTATACACAATGATGGGGTGGCTGCCACACCCAAGCAGCTAATTTTTTTTTCAAAAATAAGATTTTTACTGAATTACCGTTTAAAAAATCAGTACGTAAATGGTCAACAGTACTCAAATGTAAGTACCAATAAATCAGTAATATACAGTACAGATATAAGTTGGCATTGACGTCCAATATCGATTTAAGCAAGCTTAAATAGTTCATATGGACAGCACAGGTTTACACGTTAACCTTATTCTATATTTTTAATATTATACAGGGTGTTCGCTTCGGTTGATTATACGAAAACGGAAAGATATAGAAAGAAAATATTCTATGGGAGACAATGTGCACAATTTAAAATTATTTTGAAATATACAGGGTGTTTCAGAACTAAGATCCATACCAAAGTTATATTTTTTCTTATAGAACACCCGGTATTTTATTTTATTTCTGGATTCCTGGGCCCAAAAAAGGCATTTATTATAAGGTTTAAATGGTTAAATATGTTTAAAATCTTTGGTTTTTGAGATATTTAAAGATATTTAAATTTGCATGCTACAGTAGAATAGATTGTTAACACCCTGTACATTACTATTCAGAATTAATTCTTATGCTGAACAAAATAAAAAAAATATGCTCAATTTAAAGGTAGAGAAATAAACTTTACTGAAAAATGGTATTGCTTCCTCAACTTTATACAGGGCCATCAAAAGTTACTGATCTGTTTTAAGGATATATTTTATACAAAAACTTCGTTTTTCAAATGCAACACTCTGTATTTTTTTAAATAAATCGAAGCAGATTCAGATGCTCTTTAAAAACTATATTAGGGTTTCCTATACCTATCTAGCTCAGATTTTGCATAAAAAGCGATTTTTAAATATTGCAATCAAGATGGCTGGTATCGGTATGGCAATTTTATAGTGATAGTTTAGAAAAAATTGGGGGATGACACCCCCGCCTAGAGGGTTGAAGATTTTGCAATCATTTTTGGGGCAAAAATTGTCCCCCTCACAAACAAAATTGACGTGTTTTTGAATTTTCTGAAAAAAAAAATTACACTGGCCGTTATGCCTTGCGGAACGTTTTCGATGGGCCACCCTGTATAAGATAGCGGTGAATAACTTCCCCCTTCTCGTACAATTTACAATCTAAGTCTTTCGCTGACAAACTCTTACCTCGTTTTTTTCTTTTTCACTCCGTTATTGTCACTCTTCTTCTTCTCATTTTTCTTGCTCGTTGTGGACGAAGCGTTCGCTATCTCTGTCGAATTCAAAGCCTGCGATTGCAGCAAGACTACATCATCCTTTTTCTTCGATAGTCCGTTAGGAGTACCCACGTTCTCGATATTGGTTTGGTACGTCATGGAGAGGTCCTGGTGGTTCATGGGAGAGTGATCCAGCTTTTGTGCCGAGGCTTTCTCGTAATCTATCGGAGAGCCTAGGTTCGTGAACATTTCGTGTTGTTGCTGGAAACCGAGCATCACCTGGAAGAAAAAATAACTTACTATAAGTTTATTTTGACTAAGAAATTCATTTTAAGTGTGTTACATAATTTAATATTTAATTTTAATCATGTCAAAAAACACATATTGACACCATTGCCAGACAAGGTTAAACATTTTGTATCTAATTTATGAAGTACTTATAACATTACGTGTATGTAGAATACTCTAAACTTTTGTTTCAAATAACAAAGAAGGATACTTTTTAATATTTTAATGTTAAATTTAGGGATCCGATAAACTCGTATACAGGGTGAGTTTCCTACGATGTTCTCTATGGGTATCTCGGAAACTACTGGAGATAGAGAGTCGGTTAAATGGGGAAAGAATTGCAGTTTTGTGGGGTCATAAATATGCGCTTTTCAGGTTTTCGAAAAAGTTCATGGCTTACTAGACATTTTGAAAAAAACAAATTTCGGCTATTTTAAAAATTGTCCCTAATTCCATTATAATCTATTTTAGACAAAAAGTTTTCAGATAAAAGTTGTAGATAATCACATCCCTAATGAGACTGTGTTCTCCGATTTTTTCTAAAGCCTGTCATTTTTGACATATGACACAAACATATGTTTTTTTAAATGGAAACCATAGTTGGCCATGACTTCATAAAAAGCGCCGTTTTTTAAGCTTTTCAACGATATAAGCTATAATATGTTTCTTTCACAAAATTACTGAGTTATAACCAATTCTTATCTTTCTTGACTAATTTCACTTAGTTAGCCATGGAAACAAGTTCAATCGTTGTTGCTCTCAGAAATGTGAAATTGTCACATCCAATCTATGTAAATTAACATAAACAAAAATTGTAAATAAGAGTTTCTTAAATGATGAACAGTGTGTAGAATTATTGGTTCAACTTTTCTTAGCCACACAGTTTCGAGGATACGTTGACCGGCGAACGTTACGTTTTTTAGAAAACGGTTTTCAAAACATGTTAGAAAAGTTAAATTTAGATACTCGCGCATTAATACAGTGGTTCCAACATGACTTATGTTGGAACTCTCTTACATGACTTCATTATGACGCACCAACCCCCCCCACAATGAAAGAAATGTTATTTAAAAAATTATTTACATCATAATTATGTAGACTCAGGGAGGTGGACCAATTGCATGGGTCTCCTCGGTCACCTGACCTATCCATTTTAGATTTTTTTATGCGGTATGGTTAACAGCAAGTTTTACAAAAATACTTATGAATTAAGAGAGGCACTCGAAAAGGCGGAACAGGAGAAGTTTAATTAAGTCAACCGGTCGTTCTGTGACAATAGCTAGAAATTCAGTTTTAAAAAGATGCATTTATGTACTCAAAATAATTGCGGATTTTTTGAACATTTTCTAAAATAACTTAAAGTGTACGTAGTGATATTATTTTTTTGAGCTTTAGTTTGTGTAATCTAAATTGTAAAGAACCGTTTAATAACATATTTTGTCTTTTTATAAGTTATAAATCACAACAAAATTTGAACATCATTGAAAACCGTTCTCTAAAAAACGTAAGTAACTTTCACCGGTCAAAGTACCCTGTATGGCCAAGAAAAGTTGAACCAATAATCCTACACGCTTTTCTTCATTTGAAAAATTTTTATTTACAATTTTTATTTATTTTAATTTACAAAGTTTGGATTTCACATTTCTGAGAGCAACGACGATTGAACTTGTTTCCATGGCTAACTAAGTGAAATTAGTCAAGAAAGATAAGAATTGGCTATAACTCAGTAATTTTGCGAAAGAAACATATTATAGCTTATATTGCTGAAAAGCTTAAAAAATGGCGCTTTTTATGAAGCCATAGCCAACTATGGTTTCTATTTAAAAAAACGTAAGTTTGTGTCATATGTCAAAAATGACAGGTTTTATGAAAAATCGGAGAACACAAACTCATTAGGAATGTGATTATCTACAACTTTTATCTGAACACTTTTTGTCTAAAATAGATTGTAATGGAATTAGGGACAATTTTTAAAATAGCCAAAATTTGTTTTTTTCGAAATATCTAGTAAGCCATGAACTTTTTCAAAAACCTGAAAGGCGCATATTTATGACCCTATAAAACTGCAATTCTTTCCCCATTTAACCGACTCTCTATCTCCAGTAGTTTCCGAGATGCCCATAGAGAACATCGTAGGAAACTCACCCTGTATAATTGTGTTTTAAGCCCAGTAGTCGGTCGAGTGTCCTACTACTGGAAAAATTACTATTTTGTAATAACTTGTCTTATCTATCTATGCTTGATAATTTTATGTAATATGTACTGTCTTTTTCGTTTGTATAATATAATGAAACATGAGTTTTTGGTAATGTTTAGTGGTCGGACAGCAAAAACTCAACACAAACGCAGATGAAAGGAAATAAAAATTGTACGACCACCGGTCAACGCTAAATTTAATATACAGGGTGGCCCATCGAAAACGTTCCGCAAGGCATAACGGCCAGGGTAATTTTTTTTTGCAATTGCAATTGAGGTAAATGAAGCTATGGAGGTATTCGTACTGGGCCAAGTTGCCATGGATAGTACGCTGAGTACAAGAAAATTAGCCAATGAGACCGGCGGCGGCGGCGTGAAACGTACAAATATCCAAAGGATAATAAAAAAACACAAGTTGCACTCGTACAAAATTCAGTTGGTACAAGAACTCAACGAACAATTTTGATCGTCGCTTGCAATTTTGTGAAACTGTGACTGAACGAGTGGCGAATGATAATAATTTCCTATTTTATGTGTGTTTTTCAGATGAGTGTACCTACTTTCTTTTTGAACGATGTAGTTAATCGGCACAACTGTTGGTACTGGGCTGAGCACAACCCCAGGGTTTTTTACGGGATGCACACACAAAACCCTCAGAAATTGAACGTGTGGGCTGGTATTTTTGGAAATTCTATTGTTGATCAGTTTAACGATATTGAGAAGAACTTCAACGCACAATTCACAGAACAGCTATCTAGCAACTACCGCACCTGATCGTTCAACCTTGTGGCAAGTAAAAAAATGCGTAAACATAAGAAAAAAACTCAAATTGGTCGAAGGAATTTATCCTTATCGTTTACTCTGATCAAATTTCAATCCTTCATATTTTCTTAATGACTCGACCGATTTTCAAAAATGAGGCGGGGAAACATAGAGAATAGAAAACTCTTTTCATTGCGGCGCCACTTGACCCCCCTTCCTATTTGAAAAAAGTTGGGGGATGACGCCCCCGCTCAGAGGGTTGAAGATTTTGCAATCATTTTTGGGGCAAAAGTTGTCCCCCTAGCAAACAAAATTGACGTGTTTTTGGATCTTTTGAAAAAAAGAATACCCTGGCCGTTATGCCTTGCGGAACGTTTTCAATGGGCCACCCTGTATTTGAGAGGTCGGACAGTATCCCCTTTTCGACGTTATATTACGAGTTCAGACTGATTTTTTATGAGATTTTGGTTATTTTCAAGCATGAAGTCTAAAGTAAAAAGGATCATCAATACAACAAAGACGCACTAGGAAAAAGTGTCCAAACTGTCCGAGAAGAGGGAAGAATTGTACATGACCGTATTAAAGACAAATAAGCAACGTTTAAAAACGAATGGAACCAGAACATATTTTAACCAGAGAAATTGAAGAAAAATGTTTCCTGAAACCAACAGTGTTACCTACTCAATACAGTTGCTAAAAACAGTTAAAAAATTGTATCTAGAACTAGAAGAAGAAAAATTGAAAACTTACTAATGGATATATGAACCTTAGATTAACAATAAATATGAACCGCGTTAGTATCGTTTAAAGATGATATTTTCATATAGATAACATACAACAAAAAAGGTATATAGGTAACGTTCAAGCCTAAATTTGCTTTAAAATTATACATATATTAATAAGGGACTATCTATTTCATAAAATTTCGTTTTCATGCCATCAATAAAGAAAAATTAATCAACAATTTAAACTTAACCTTATTCTAAACTGTCCGACCATTGGCTAATTCACCCTATTTCTTTATCAGTTTCACTTATTGCCACAGGCCACTACACAAAGTTAAAGCAAGGAATCAAAATCTCTCAAAAAAACAGACAAAATCTCTATTCACCTACCTGTATCGAATGCGCATCATTGTTTTTATTCAACAACGTCGAACTCAAACTAGGCAACGGCTGATTATTGTAATCATTAAAGGCCTGATCGTCGAACGGGCTAGCACCTTCCATATCAATTAAACACAATCAAAACAACAATCTAGTCCAATTTAATCCGTTTGAAACTTTTTCAATCAAACAATTTAGACAAGCTGTTACTCTTACACTGACTTCTGACATTATCATTTTAGGCAATTTATATTTAACGAGCTCAATTGGACCCCGCACACCCCGTGTCGCCGATTGGACGGGCTTGAGCGATGCACGATATCCCATTGGTCGGGGCATTTAGAGCCGGCCAATGGCAGAGGTAGCGCGGAGGCTGCGAGAAGGAAAGAGCTGGCGAGGAATGAACGAGGGAGTGAGATGGGGTATGGAGGTTCGGGCTCTATAGAAATGTTTTTTTGCTGTTGAATCTGGACGGTGTCTCGGTGGGCATTGAAAGGAACAGGAAGCGCGGAACGTTTTTTATATAAACGGTTTTAATTGGGAATAATTCGAAAATTAGAATTAATAAAAGTCAGGTTTTTAGAGTAGATTACGGCGAATAAATTCAAAAACAATTGTTGTTGAAGTAACATCAATATTTGGATGAAAATTGGTATCTGGGAGTTTTGTGATACGAGAAATTTGATTTTGATGTCAAAATTACTCCTATTTCAAGGGGGCGCCACCTACATGTGTTTTAACTGTTTTGAAGAGTAATAACTTTTCGACCGTACCTGTATAAAACCACTGACTAAAAGAATATACATTTCCATGACTTTTTTTGTAAAAAATGTCTCTTGGTAAAAATCGCTACGAGCAACCATTCTCAAGATATTTAGAATGGAAATAGTCAATACATGTCATTATTGACAAAGAATAAGCACACGT